ATATGCTATTAGTAATCAAGTACTTCTAAACTGGCATCTCTACTTCTAGGACGAATAACATGTTTTCTAAAACTGATGGTTTATTTTCTACTATTAGACATTCTTTCAAACATGCTTTTCATTAGAAAATATAGGATTTTCTTGAGGAACACTTTTCAAAAGAATCAAAAAACATTTTTCACCAAAACCAAATGTTTATGAACTCACCAGCTTTATGATGACTTTCAAACTGCTTGTATTCTCAGGGAATTAGTAGACAGGTACTGTGACATCCCCAATTTCACGGCTAGAAAAAACCGGTTTGTTTATGCTTTGTTTTATAAAATCAGAGTAAATACTTTTGATTTAAAAGAGTTTCTGAATTTGTTCCCAAAACAAAATATGATAAAATTTATCAAAACGTTTCTCAAAGAGAACGTATTTTCATTAAATAATAAAACCTCGGGATGTCATGTTCCGATACAGACCAAAAGCATAAACAGTATAAAATAGACCTTATAACAGTTATTTATAACTACTTATCTATATTCCAAAATCTCTCATCAAGTCCACCAACTTATACTCTTGTGTCATTACCTGTAATGCAAAGAAAACTGAGTGGGTCAGGCTTGGGAGCCTGGTGAACATATAGGGTTTTCAACCCACAATATTATATCATATATATATATATATATATATATATATATATATATATATATATATATATATATATATATATATATATAATCATCAAACAATCAACCCAATAACCCATCCCCATTCTCTTCTTTATTTCTTAAGGTTTTACCCTAACAATAAACTATCTTTCATTCATTCATTCCTGAGGATTTACCTAAGGAATTGGCACGAAGTCCATTGCTGCCAAAGTTTATCTATCAGGTACTAAGTCCATAGTTACCAACATTTATCTCTCAGGTACTAAATCCATAGCTATCAGGCGCTAACTCAATAGTCACCAAGGTTCACTTAACAGTAGACGCTAACTCCATAGTCACCAAGGTTTATACAATAGGCGCTAACTCGATAGTCACCAAGGTTTATCTAACAGTAGGCGCTAACTCCATAGTCACCAAGGTTTATACAATAGGCGCTAACTCCATAGTCGCCAAGGCTTATACAATAGGTGCTAACTCCATAGTCACCAAGGTTTATCTAACAGTAGGCGCTAACTCCATAGTCACCAAAGTTTATACACTAGGCGCTAACTCCATAGTCACCAAGGTTTATCTAACAGTAGGCGCTAACTCCATAGTCACCAAGGTTTATACAATAGGCGCTAACTCCATAGTCACCAAGGTTTATCTAACAGTAGGCGCTAACTCCATAGTCACCAAGGTTTATATAATAGGCGCTAACTCCATAGTCACCAACTATCCCATCTACCCATGTTCTACCCAACATTTTCGTAGATACAATTACTTACATAGTTTAAATCATTTAACACCAGTATAAAACATCAATTTTATGCCCATCTCAAATAAACAAACAATATATAAACACATAGCACGTATTTCATAGCAAATAATTTGTATTTATGTGTTAGAAGAAAGTGATCACATACTCACCCAAAACATATACTTAATACATTCGAACAATACTTGTATTAAAATCGTGTTATGAAAGGGACTATACACTCACACATATAAACAACTTTATATTATACACATAGCAGGTATTTCATAGCAAATACTTAATATTTATGTGTAAGATGAAAGTGACCACACACTCACTTGATCAGAAGATGATCGGACAACACTACGGCTCTTCAAGTAGATATTCTTCGGTGAAACCGGGATCACTTCACACACCGGGTTTCTCGCGGACAGAGCTTCGGCTCGGAAACTCTTTTCTTCTGGGGATCTTCGGGCTTCGGTAGTTGCTTTGGGTCTCGGGGTTGATACCGGGGCTTCGGGATATTTCTTCCATGTAAATCGAGGTAAAACGGGAGAGAGAGAAGAGATAATAGCAACCCTAAACGGCTGGCCCTTCAAATCTATTTATAGGGAAAAATCTGCCCTTGCCACGTCGTAGCACCTTTTTCCACGTCGTGGGCTTGGTCGTCACTGCATGTGTCATCGCAAGTTGCACCTGGGGGACTCCCGGAGGTGTCAGAAGACTGGCCACATCGTGGCACTGCTTGCAACATCGTGGTATCTAACAATTTTGGGGTTTCGCGCCCCGAACTTCAGAAATTCATAACTTTCGCATACGAACTCCGTTTTCGACGTTCTTTATATCGACGTGAAGGTGAGATTATGCTCTACAAATCTCATTTAGAATCCATCGGCTAATTTTGACTATATTTTTAATATATTATAATTATATGACTTATATATTATTTTTAGTAGGCCGGGACAGGAAAACTCCGTTATAAACTCATAACTCCTTCGTTTGACGTCCGTTTTCGTCCGTCTTTCCGTCGTTGCACTACTATCGATAAGATATTCAATTCTCATTTAGATTGTTTTGGATAATTATCTCTCTAATGTAAATTCACTATTTACGTCGCGCTGTGTCATGTCGGTTCTATCGCGAAACTTCGACAGGTCATAACTTCTTCGTTATAACTCGGATTTTGACGGTGTCTATATATTCGGAAACCTCGTAACATAAACTACATCTTAGTTAAGATAAATGATTCTAAATATTCTTTCCCAAAAAAGTCATTTTTGATGCTTATTGTCTCTAAATTGACTAGCCCTGATCTATGGGCGTTACAATTATCTCCCCATTAGGATGATTACGTCCTGGGATCATCAATGAAATAGGATTCGTATAATGACTCCATAAGTTATCTCTCCATCTTAAGTAATAACCTTGATGCTCAATCCTACATCTACTCTTTGTACTGTTTTGGACTTTCAATCATAACCTTCGAGTTACAAAATAAGTCCTCATTTTAGACTCCTTCTTCTTCTTAGGATAAATACTTTCCTTTATATATTGTAACTGACCGATGGGTCGTGTCCTGATGAACTCTCATCATAGTCGGACTCAATTGATATGACCACTAGGGTCGGAATAACAACCATCTTACTAGTCATTACCGAAACAATGGTAATGACATACTTGAATAAAACAGAATCAATTACTAGCTTCTTGGTAACCTTGCGACTTCCCATGATCCAAGCGTGAGTCCTGTGCTTCCAGTAGTATAGATCTCTACTACCATTCACACATACTCATTCTCGTCCCAAGTATTGTCTCGCAATCCCCAAGTCCTAAAATCACCAAACAATTTAACACATAGGAATGTGTCCAATTAATCATAAAAATTTTCCTAGACTCTACTAGGACTTCTTCCATGCGTATCTTCTATCATCAATCATACTTCAACTCGCTTGATGATGGAAATTCTAGATTATGGGACATCTTCAAGAATTACACCAATCGTTCCATCATCCTACCAATCGAAGGTGTACTTCAGACGTCCCGTACTCCTCTAAACGTTCCGTTATTTTATCAAACATAAACTAAAGGCAAGACACCACTTATGTTATCTTCCGATAGGTGTCATTCACTATCATAAGCCTTTCATTTCCTCCATTTACTCAATTCTCTATGAGTCTTCGCCATAACGTTTTGTACATCCAAGAAAACGTTCGGTGTATCGGATGAGAATTTAAGATAAGAAAGCTTTATTTATGATAGATGTATAAATATCCTTATCACTCCAAAATGTTTACATGCTAGTTCTAATATCGTAGTCGTACGCTTAGAATCCTAAACACATAAGGTTTCCAGATCCGATCGGCAACATACCATAGATCCGAAAAAACAATATAATTTATGGAAAACACATAGCATTTAGCACATAAAAGCATTTTAGGCATCTTTCCTAAAATATACGAGTGCTCGTGTCTAAACTATGGTAGACACTCATCTCACAATCATCGCTTAGTGTTCTAAGTTTAAGTCTAGAAATCCTATAAATTCCTAGTTCGCTTAAACTAATGCTCTGATACCAACTGTGACATCCCTAATTTCACGGCCAGAAAAGGCCGGTTTGTTTATGCTTTGTTTTATAAAATCAGAGTAAATTCTTTTGATTAAAAAGAGTTGCGGAATTTCTTCCCAAAACAAAATATGATAAAATTTATCAAAACGTTTCTCAAAGAGAACGTATTTTCATTAAATAATAAAAACTCGAGATGTCATGTTCCGATACAGACCAAAAGCATAAACAATATAAAATAGACCTTACAACAATTATTTATAACTACTGATCTATATTCCAAAATGTCTCGTCAAGTCCACCAACTTATACTCTTGTGTCATTACCTGTAATGCAAAGAAAACTGAGTGGGTCAGGCTTGGGAGCCTGGTGAGCATATAGGGTTTTCAACCCACAATATTATATATATATATATATATATATATATAATCATCAAACAATGACCCCAATAACCCATCCCCATTATCTTCTTTATTTCTTAAGGTTTTACCCTATTGATAAACTATCCTTCATTCATTCATTCCTAAGAATTTACCTAAGGAATTGGCATGAAGTCCATTACTACCAATGCTTATCTATCAGGTACTAAGTCCATAGTTACCAACATTTATCTCTCACACTACTAGAAAAAAGGCCTTTTACGACGCTCATTGCGCGTCGTAAAACGCTCAGACGACGCGCAAATGCGCGTCAAGGAAGGCCCTGTCATAAAGAGAGATGACGCGCATTTACGACGCTCATTTATGACGTGCATTTACGACACGCGGTTATGACATGCAATGCGTATCAAGGAAGGCCCTGTCATAAATGAAGACGACACGCATTTGCGTGTCGTAACCTTACGACGCGCGTGTTTATGACATGCAATGCGTATCAAGGAAGCCCCTGTCAAGAAAGGCCATGTCATAAATGAAGATGACACACATTTTTGCGTATCATAATTTTAAATGTTCTAAAAAAATATATTTATATATTTATTAATTTTTGAATTAAATTTGCATTTAATGTCTCATAACAAGAAAATAAAATACCATATATAAAAAATACTATCCATTGCATAAAATTTTTTGTCATACAAATAACAAACTGTATTTTATATTCATACATATGATTACATTATTCATTAAAAAAACATATACATACATCTTCCCCTAAAATGTTATTACATGATGTTGGCCACTTCATTGATGGATCACCAAGAGGAAAAACAAAAACTAACCGAAATGTTCCATGATGTGCCGATACTCATGTCCTGTAACTTTAAATATTAAAGAAAGTAAAATACCTCCTAAAAATAAAAATGCACAAGAAACGACAACACATCATAATGAGAAATTACTAACATGAATTGGAAGAAGTACACTATAAATTTGTTTTACCAAGAGTGGCATGGACGATCAGGTGCTACAAAGTTTGTCCAAGCTGCCAAACAAAGACTGCATGCAAACCAAAACATACATACACTATAAATTTAATTACCATACAAATCATATTCATACATACGAGTTTGTTTTACCTTTTTTCCTCATATCTTTATCTTTTTTATTCTTATTAGCCATGGAGTGTTGGTGTTTTCTTTTCTCTCGTTCAATCAACCCTTTGTTTTACTTTGAAAAATTAACAATTTCCCTACCAATTGACTCTGCATCAAACAGAAAAAAGTAAGTCAATCAATAGTCAATGGTGAATACCAACTACAAGTTTTTATTGAAGTAACCTGACACCATAAATACTTTGGTTTAATAAACAGGAACATGTATGTATAAAAATCGCAAATGAAGTACTTTGGTCTAATACCTCCATTTCTAGTAAGTGTCCAATCATTGTTTGTGAAGGTTGAAGACCTTCAAACAAAAAACTCCCAGCAATGTCATTAATGTGCATCTTAAGAACAGGAAACTATTGTAGTTCATGCACTAGACAACTATGGGTGATATGAAATATTTCCCAAATATTTATTTATTCTGAATTATAAAAAAAGAAAAAGAAAAAGAAAAAAAGATAATACCTTTACTAATTCATTGTATACAAGTCTAACACATTGAAGACAATGATCCAACAACCGAGCTATTTGTCTTCGAACCAAAACTTGAAGTGGAACCTATATATATGTCATTATGCCTTCACAACATTAACATTAAGAATAATAAATTAAATTAGAAAAAAAGTAAGAATGGTGATATATACTTGATGCAGTTCTCATGAACACCACCATGAGATTTATCATTGCTGGTTCCTTGTTTTGAGTTTCCATAGAACTTCCCAAATGCTTCTGTCAGCTGCAAATCAGAAACAATGTAACAAAGGGCTTTTGTTTGATTTATATGAATGAATCTATCAAAGGAACTGTAAAATACAGGGGACTTACAATAGCCTGATCAGCCTGTTTTGAGCTTCCATAGACCTTCCCAAATGTTTCTCTTTCTTTTAGGCAAACATCTTGTTTATTGAGTAGAACAATTTGTATATAATAACACAAACCTAAAAAATGTAATACAAAACCTTAAAAGGAAACTTGAAGCTTCATTATTTTCATTGATAGTTTAAGTAACAATTCCCAATCCAAACTCCTTCACGTAAAAATAAATAATATGTTAGGAAAGTTTTTGATAAAAAAAAAAACAACAAGTTTAAAAAAGTATAGAAAGGAGCCTACGGAGAGGACAAAAACAAGTTGAAAAAACTTGTATACCAACAGGCTGTGATCATCTTATAAATAATTTTGATGATTTGAAGTTGGGCGTTTAGTTCACAATTACTTCAAGTATAAAGCCCCTTAATTTTCAAAATTTCTTTATATTCATCCCGCTCACAAATTCTATTTAAATTTTCAGGTCAAAGTACTAAATGTTAAGTTATTACTAGCTGCCAAGGATTATGCAGGGGTAATTTCGGAAGCATGATATGAAGAAGCCAACTGTTGTTGCCAAGAATAGAGATTTGCAAATAAGGACGAGTCAAGTGATTTCAGAGGAGAAATGCAGGTTATGGTTGCTAGGGGTACGTCACCCGCGTTACATGATACTCCTGATCTTATAATTTGAAATTACAGTGATGGAAACCTTGTTGCCTCTTTGTTGTCTTACAAAATGGCAGTAACTCAGGTAAGAAACATAAATAATAATAGTAATAATAATAATAATAATAATAATAATAATAATAATAATAATAATAATAATAATAATAATAATAATAATAATAATAATAACAATAACAATAATAACAATAATAATAATAATAATAATAACCCTTCAAATTATCACAATGTGTTGAGAAAACAAAGTACCCAGATTCAGACTTGTATTGGAAGAAATTTGATGAAAAGTATCTCTGACAATTTCCTACTAACCTAGCCATGAACAATGCAAATTTTATCATCACCAACACATACCAAGAAATTGCAGGAACGTAAGTGTCCTAAGTTTTTATGGTCTGCTAGATGTCAATAAATCCACATCATCTTATTTTGTTTATAAATTTCATTTCAAGAAGAATAATGTGGTACAATAGGAGAGCCATTCACCTTTCATTCTCCCAGGGATGGGCTCTACAGGGTTGTTCATGGTATTGATGTCTTTGATCCAAAGTTCAATATCGTGTCTCCAGGGGGAGATGATTTAACATCCCTAAATAATTAATTTTGCCTGCAACATGATCAAAGAAATAAATTATGAGTTGTAATTCATTGATTTAAATAAAGAAGATTCGAGAATGAATTTGTCTTATGCATAAGAACATGCGAGCCATTCTTGAAGACCTTAAAGATCGCTTGATTTAATCTCTTAACAGATTGTTCATCGATCCATCCTTTGAAAACCGACCCAGATCCACCTTCTCCAAGAACATTAACGAGTCGAAAATTTCTTGTAGCCAATTTAAGTACATTGAAGCTAAAAGGCTTTAAATTTCCCAATTGTAAGATTTCTGTTTGACTTCTAGGAGTCCAAGAGCTTAGAGGTACTGATGTAGATGTAACTTTACCTGTTGAAGTTTAAACACATCAAAAAGATCATAACACCCTTTTTTTAATCAAAAAGACCATATTACTCTCTATAAGAACATGCGAGCCATTCTTGAAGACCTTAAAGATCGCTTGATTTAATCTCTTAACAGATTGTTCATCGATCCATCCTTTGAAAACCGACCCAGATCCACCTTCTCCAAGAACATTAACGAGTCGGAAATTTCTTGTAGCCAATTTAAGTACATTGAAGCTAAAAGGCTTTAAATTTCCCAATTGTAAGATTTCTGTTTGACTTCTAGGAGTCCAAGAGCTTGGAGGTACTGATGTAGATGTAACTTTACCTGTTGAAGTTTAAACACATCAAAAAGATCATAACACCCTTTTTTTAATCAAAAAGACCATATTACTCTCTATACTGCTTAATTTTATGTAGCTGGATACATCACAAAAATATAAAAATGTGAAGAAATTCAACTTTATTATGTTCTATTTTTATATTTACACAATGCATCCACAGATTATCGATAAGAAAATGAAATGAGAAGTATAAGTTCTTCTAGACAAACATATAAAAATTCATCACAAAAATATAAAATTTATAACAACGTGAACTTTCAATTTTCAATCTAACACTGAAACAAAAACCCATCTTGATCCAGATATTGAGCTTCTTCTTTCTTCTCAATTCAAAACACTGAATTGAGTCTCCCCTTCTTTTTCTTCAGAGAGAGAGAGAGAGAGAGAGAGAGAGAGAAGCAATAATAAAAGTGATAGAAAATAAAAACTCACTGTGACATTAAATCAAACAGTTGGAGGGTGTGAACGGGAAGACGTGTTGAAATACATATAAAAATACGTATGTGAGTGTGTGTTGAATAGTTGAAGTGTGTACATGTGAGCCCCTGGTTTCACGAGGAGAAAAGGCAAAGACAAAAGGCATCAAACATGTTTGTATCTTTTCTTGAAAGCATCAAACATTTTCATGTTTCATGTGCATTTTCATTTTATAAAATATATTTTTTTTAACAGCACTTGATTAAAAAAAACAGAGCCAAAATGGGATTTGCGAGCAAACAGGAGAACATGATGATTTCCTGCATGCAACCGTTATATCAAGTGTTTGAAGCTTCCCGTAGTCCTAATTACTATACCATCAGTTCATTTTAGGAATAGGAAAAAGGGAAAATTGCATCAATGTTATAGTTAAATAAAATCTTACCGTGAGCATCTTGGCTGGATCAAAACTTTGCATAGGTGGACAAGAACCAAAGATCTTGTGAGTGAGCTCAAGAGCAAGCTGTACAACAGGTAGTTTGCTATCAATTTCTTGTATCAAATCAGCTGAAAAAAATATTACAGAGTATAAGAGTTCCAATTTTTGAATTAAAAAAATGAAACCATCTATCCATTCAAATCCTTGGTTTAAAATAAGAAAAGTAAATTAGCTGCAAGATTTTATAGAATATACAAAAGATGTATAAACTTCAAGCTATCCATGAACAGAGAGAGTCGATATGGGATTTTATACTCAAACAACCTTTATACTCTCAGAGTTGTACTCCATCTCTAACATCATAATCTCATTATTGCCCTAATTAGAACAAGAGAAGGGGCAAAATTATCCCATGGAGAATCAGAGCAACCCATAGGAGTATTGCCACCATAACAAGGAGAAGGTAATCGTACATCAGATGAAGCACAAAGTAACATTGGTGATGGTGAAGGAATGGAAATAAAACAGAAAAAAAAAACAGAAACCCTAACCAACCTTGGTCGTTGAGATGATGGTGGAGCTTTTCCCTTGACGCAAAACCCTCCTTGGTATCAAGCTCAATCTCTGTAGCCCTACGATCTGCCATGTCCAAATCTCTCTCGTCCTCCAGAGAATCGTCCAACCCAACCGACCTTTATAGCCATTTCTATTGCTTTCCAACTCGATATCATAAATTATGTTTCGACATGAGAGTGTGGGGAGATTTCAAGAAGAACAGAGCAGAAGCAACAACGCAAAAGATAACATTAGGTATCGAGGGCTAATCGAGTTTGATTAAAAAGGTTATAAAACTCGTAATAAAGGAAGACAAACCTCTGGAACACATAAAGAAGTAGAATGTTGATGGTGATTGACCATGGAGTTTCGAGACCTTGACTTTAATGGAGCTACTGTTCTACTTGATATGGAAATCACTCTAAATTTGTAGTTGTGATACAACTCTTCTATTGATTGAGAGGCTGAGAAAGTACTTGAGGAACTGAAGATCGAGGGAAGTAGATGAAGGGTTTTTGAACTGAAACCCTGGTTCCAAAAATAGTCATGGTTCCAAAAACTGTACCCCTTTGATCAATTTCATGGCCTAGTGACCAAAAAACCTTCAATTTCACTAAGAACCGGAACCCTAGTTCCAACAATAGTCGATTTTTGGTATTTGATTGAGAGAGATAGAGAGAGAGAGAGAGAAGAACAATTGAAAGAAGGTAGGGAGAGCATGGCGGGGTTTTTAATTTTTTCAGAATTTCATTTCCCCCTTTCCCCCACTATTAAAGGATGGAACGCGCGTTCCATGAAAAAATATAAAGCGACATCCTTAGACGACGCGCATTTTATTATAGGTGCCCTCTGTGTTTTTTTTAGACACTAATTTAAGGGTGCGCAATAATGCGTGTCTTCTATCCTTAAATTTTTTGAAGAGATGACATTTTTCTAATGTCACTCTCCGTTGCGTAACATAGATCAATGAGCGTCGTATTTTGCGCGTCGTAAAAGGCCTTTTTTCTAGTAGTGTCAGGTACTAAATCCATAGCTATCAAGCGCTAACTCCATAGTCACCAAGGTTCACTTAACAATAGGTGCTAACTCCATAGTCACCAAGGTTTATACAATAGGCGCTAACTTCATAGTCACCAAGGTTTATCTAACAGTAGGTGCTAACTCCATAGTCACCAACGTTTATACAATAGGCGCTAACTCCATAGTCGCCAAGGCTTATACAATAGGTGCTAACTCCATAGTCACCAAGGTTTATCTAACAGTAGGCACTAACTCCATAGTCACCAAGGTTTATACAATATGCGCTAACTCCATAGTCACCAAGGTTTATCTAACAGTAGGCGCTAACTCCATAGTCACCAAGGTTTATATAATAGGCGCTAACTCCATAGTCACCAACTATCCCATCTACCCATGTTCTACCCAACATTTTCGTAGATACAATTACTTACACAGTTTAAATCATTTAACACCAGTATAAAACATCAATTTTATGCCCATCTCAAATAAACAAACAATATATAAACACATAGCACGTATTTCATAGCAAATAATTCATATTTATGTGTTAGAAGAAAGTGATCACATACTCACCCAAAACATATACTTAATACATTCGAACAATACTTGTATTAAAATCGTGTTATGAAAGGGACTATACACTCACACATATAAACAACTTTATATTATACACATAGCAGGTATTTCATAGCAAATACTTAATATTTATGTGTAAGATGAAAGTGACCACACACTCACTTGATCAGAAGATGATCGGACAACACTACGGCTCTTCAAGTAGATATTCTTCGGTGAAACCGGGATCACTTCACACATTGGGTTTCTCGCGGATAGAGCTTCGGCTCGGAAACTCTTTTCTTCTGGGGATCTTCGGGCTTCGATACTTGCTTCGGGTCTCGGGGTTCATACCGGGGCTTCAGGATATTTCTTGCATGTAAATCGAGGTAATACGGGAGAGAGAGAAGAGATAATAGCAACCCTAAACGACTGGCCCTTCAAATCTATTTATAGGGCAAAATCTGCCCTTGCCATGTCGTGGCAAGTTGCATCTAGGGGACTCCCGGAGGTTTCAGAAGACTGGCCACATCGTGGCACTGCTTGCCACGTCGTGGTATCTAACAGTTTTGGGGTTTCACACCTCGAACTTCAAAAATTCATAACTTTCGCATACGAACTCCGTTTTCGACGTTCTTTATATCGACACGAAGGTGAGATTATGCTCTATAACTCTCGTTTACACTCCATTGGATAATTTTGAATTTATTTTTAATATATTATAATTATATTACTTATATATTATTTTTAGTTGGTCGGGACAGGAAAACTCCGTTATAAACTCAGCACTTCTTCGTTTGACGTCCGTTTCCATCCGTCTTTCCGTCGTTGCACTACTATCAATAAGACATTCAATTCTCATTTAGATTGTTTTGGGTAAATATCACTCTAATGTAAATTCACTATTTATGTCGCGCTGTGTCATGTCGGTTCTGTCGCGAAACTTCGACATGTCATAACTTCTTCGTTATAACTCGGATTTCGACGTTCTCTATATATTCGGAAACCTCGTAACATAAACTAAATCTTAGTTAAGATGACTCCTTCTAAATAATATTGCCCAAAAAAGTAATTTTTGATGCTTATCGTCTCGAAATTGACTAGCCCTGATCTTTGGGCATTACAGGTACCTCCAGGAGTTTGGAGAAGTCGAAGCGTTAGTGTCGTGTATTTCTACTTTACTTTTGATATGAACAGAAACTATGTATTAAACAATGTAAAACATTTTCATATATGTATTCATTGTCTGGTTGTGTTTACTATGCTTTCTATGATATAATTGTTGTGATACTACGCATGATGTCCTCTGCCCTGGAACGTTTCCGCCATCGGTTTCGGGTTGTGATAGATTGGTATCAGAGCCCTTGTTTATAGCGAAATAAGTATACCGAACCTTACATGGTATACAACTATAAGTATTAAGGGGCCTAGGTGCTCTTAACTAAAAAGTATACTTTCGACAATACAAATATTTTTTTTAAAGTATATAAGTATACCCGAGTATCAGAATCCGTGTCGTGAGTAGAACAGAACAAAAGTATTTGGATGTTGGACACTGCGGTTAAACTTGAGCAGTTATGTGATCATGTCTAGGGTCAATATAGCCTGATCAACTATATTCATTCGAGACATGACCAACATGTGCTCGGGAGTAACTATGGCGTTGCAACAAGTCTAAAACTTACCTAGATACCAGAAGAAGAGTTCTAGAACCAGGTATAAGGATAAAATACTGTAGGAGTATTTTAGGGTGCTATAACGGCCGGACCAGAGTTTTACCCAAGAGAATTAATCATGTAACTATAATACATTAGTAGTATTATATATTCGATGCCTATTAACTATTCCTTTACCCTTGCCTCGCGTAGATAGCATGGCTGGATTCCATCTTCCTGGCGACCCGTACTTTCCTAACCAAGGAGATGATGGATGGATCGAACCAGAGCCAGAAGGAAACCATGAAATCCCTTTTGATGATGGCATTGCTGTGCCATTTCCTAAAGAGACTGACTCGGAACCAGAAGTTGAGAACTTACCCCCAGTGGCCCCAATACCAAATCCCAACCCTCAGCTTGTACTCGAAGGCCCAACGCCCATGTGGGTCGGAAGCCTGTATAGGTGGTGTCACGAACAAAGCCAACCCCTCCCGTATAATGGGGATCGTCGCTTCTACAATGTGAACGGAGGAGGCTCCACAGATAGAGCCCTTCCAATCATAGTCCGCTGAGTGGCCCGCAATGTCGAGATGAACGTGGCTGCCATTCAACGAACTGTGGAACTTGAAGCAGACTCGGATGCCAACACAAACCATATTCGCAGTCTCGAGGTTGCTTATGGGAGGATTTTGAGAGACAACAAAGCCCATCAACGAGAACTAGCTGCAACTTGAGCTGAAGTTGTAGAGCTTCGAGCATGCCAATCAGTATACGAGAGTCGCCTGCTTGAAATGGAGCGCCAGTGGACTAACCTAAGGTTTCGCCCGAGAAGAGCCCGTCGCCAGTAGGAAATATTCTACTTGTCTTTCCTTTTGGTTTAAATAATAGCTTTCCTATTTATGTTCCAAGTAGCTCTTTTCTCTGTAGACATCTTTGCCTTGCATGTACCGATTTGCTAGTTCTTTATGTGGTCAAATTGTTCCTTTGTTGATATGTGGTAGACCTACTCCTAGATCAAAATTTTCAAGCTCTGTGTAATCTTGATATCAACAATGGTGGCAACTATAATATTTCAGTTAAAGATTTTCATTGTCAAAAGTGTACCTTAGATTGATAGCATGAAAAGTAAGCAACTTTATCAAGGTCCTATCACTGTTTTGTCCTAAAAACGTGAATCAAAAGATGTACTTAAACAATTATTTCTTTCCCCATCAACTTCGTATCAGCTTTGATATCCTAATCGGCACAAAATGGTTAAGCCTCAAATAGTACTGATATCCTTTGCTTCGAGGAAGCGATTCGTCCCATCAACGAAATCCTCACTGGTCTCAGTGATAAGATTTTTTGAACCTTTGTATCATTTCCTGCGTCAAGTCAAGGAGCATTTGCGAAAGGAATGCTATGCATTCCTGGCTCATGTTGACAATGAGACACAAGAAGTTAAAGACCTCGAGTGCATCTTCGAAGTCTGCAACTTTCCCGATGTCTTCCCCACAGACATTTTAGGGATTTATTTCGAGTGCCAAGTTGAATCCCGTATCGACTTGATCCTCGGAACTACCCTGATAGCAAAATCTCCATATCGTCGAAAGCCAACAAAAATGTGAGAGTTACTCAGCCAGTCCGATGAGCTGAGCAACCAGGAGTTCGTAAACTTATTATATGTGAACTTTGTGTGCTCAAATCTTTTCTATCATAGCCAATACCACATCATGGTGATGTGGGTCGAATCACTGAGACTCCGATAGCTTAACGGGAAATCTCAACGCATAGATAAACATTTTGGATATATCCGGGGGCAACCATTGTTGCTCACAATCTTATTTTCTTGAGATGTAGCAGATCATGCCTCCGAAGAAACGTAACCAACCCACCAGTAAGACACCAATCCTCCAGATGGACTCAGCTGTGTTCCAAGCTACTGTCACAGCAGCTGTAGCAGCCGCCCTAGTTGTTCTTAACGCTAACAACACAAATGTGGGTGGGAGTGTGAATGGCAATCCGAAGCTTGGTGCTAACCAATCTCAACAACAAGTGCCTACTGGAAAGGACACACCTAATCTCCAACCTAACATCCTAAAACGAAAGTTCAGAGGGAGTTGTTCAACCCAAAGACCTATTGAGATGCGACGAATTAGGACAGTCAGTACCCCAGTCAGCCCTATTGTTCCAACCCTAACCACACCCTACTTGGGAAATCTTCCGCACTGAAGCAAATGCAACTACCATCATCATGGAGTTTGTCAAGTGTTGCATTGCACCAGATGCAATAGGAAGAGGCACACCTCCAGCAGATGTAGGACCCTAGTCGAGTTTGTCACTCTGAATGCGAATGTTGGGTCTAGTCCAACCTGTTACCTCAGTGGTAGTGGAGGACATTTCAGAAGAAATTGTCCAAGGGCTAGGGATGACAAGGAAGCTAGCTTCGCGAAGACCCCGACTCAACATATCCCTTCCACTACCGATGCTAGCATAATTCAAGTGTGCAGTGTATGTGGAAAAAAGGGACATTTCAAAAGAGACTACCCAACAGAGAAGAACAACGGAGTAGCAGGAGGAGTCTGACCTCAGAGA